AAAAAAAAACTTAATAAAATCAAGAAATGCCACATCTTCGGAGACCAAGGGGTAATTAATCAGGGTGGGATCAAGTAAATATGGCAAAAATCGAGGTGCTTTGATTTCTGTTTTACATTTACTGCGTCCGGCCGCAACTAACAGCCACTGGGTCTCTGAGGATTGCAGCACCAGAAAAGTATAGCTGAAATCACATTTGTTGTGTAAGAGCACACAAAGTGACTCTGGAAATATCACTGATTGGGAAGAATAACATATGCAAATAGCTACCAAAAGTACAACAAATCATTGTTGTTACCATTAATTATAACCCACGCTTAAGTTTCGCGCAATTCTATTGGCTACTTTACGTCACGTGGTGCAAAATTACTGGGCAGTTATCACGCAATAACCTCCGCCTGGGTCGATAATTGCCCTGCGACTGTTTCTGTCGAAAAGAAACAAAGCTAAAAAGAATCAATCCAGCTCTAGAATTTCACCTTTTCATCTTTATTACTCTTCATAGAAGAAAAACAAACTCTTTGCGTGGAATCCGCTGATTATGACATATTTTTTTACAAAAAAATGGTCGCCAATGCTGTTCTGATTAGCACAAAAGTGGGAGGGTTATAAAATAAATGAACCCCTTTCTGGCTCACTGGTATGTTGGCTGATAATGTCCTTGGCTGAGAGATTGTCCTCAAAATGTCACATTTGCCCTCAAAGCTTCACTTCTCAGCCAAATATTCATTTTTCGGACAATATCTCAGCTGCAGACATTATCAGCCGACACACCAGGCGCCAGAAGGGGTTTATTTATTAACTATTAATTGTGAAATAAATTCTGAAATAAAGGATATCCACAGACAGAGCAGAAGTGCCGTTCTGGAAACTTTGATGGAGGTACATTGGCTGAGTTGTAGGATGGTTCCCCAGCTTCAGCTTCCTGTTGCTGAATAATGAAAAAAGATGACAAATAATCAACAAATAAACAGGCAAAATTATTAATATGGGTTTACATGAAGCATGTAGATTTACATGCAGTGATAGGCTGTGTGGAAGTCATCACATTTAAATGACAAATTATCATATCTGTTGACCATTATTTGCTAAAAGTATGAAATCTTGATCTCACACTTACTGCCTCTTCCAAAAGCATGGCAAAAGTTCTTCTAAATCTCTGGTGAACAAGGACAAAATTGCAACTTAGCATTAAAAATCTCAAAGCCATGGCTCATTATCACAAGTATGTACAACAGTTGCTAAAATCCTTTTGGGAAATTTGCAAGCAACTTACAGTAATACATCACTGCCTCTGACAAGAACCTTTCACATGAAGAACTTCAAGTTATGATCAGTGGTAGCAGCAAGTCAGTTACAAAACAATTACTGTTCTAACATTTCTAATGAGGTTAATCAATTGCCACAGCAAGTTAAATAGGGTTTAAGTCTGTGTCAGGCCAAATGGTCCATTCACCTGGGCACAGAGGCTCTGTGGGAGTAAAGTGAGCTCATTGAGTTGTGTTTTCAGGACTTCAACCAAGAACCTGGACAAGTCTACATGTAGATAGTGCATGGCAACGATTAGGCCACCAAACCTCCCTATCATGTCATAGAGTCTCTTTTATCTAGGGTCCTGTGGCCAGATAATGATGGTGCTTCCACAAGTGTTTTATAATGCTTACATTACGAGGTGACAATTTGTGATCAAGTGCAACAAATTACCATTTTAGTTACTTAGCAAACTGCAGTAATATGTTTGCAGACCTGTTTAAACAGCTCCCCTGTTTTAGATTTCCTTTTCTTCCTTTTATCTACAAGGTGGGACAGGACATGTCACAAATGCGGAATAATCAGCTCTGCTTTGTCAGGCAGAAAAATTATACAAGAAAAAATGAAAATAATTTGGGTATATGTACATACACAACTGTAACTTAAACTACTACATGGAGGGTATTACAAGACTGTGTGGTGATACATATTTTTATTTGAGTGCAGATGGTATCTCTCATGAGTGAGTGCAGCAAATGAGTGAGGAATACCATAGGCAAATTAGAACACAACAGCAACAAAAAATACAAATTTGTAGTCTCAAGTGGCCATGTTCTGTTCTGTTTGACATACACTGTACATATTGATAGAACATCCAAATCTAAGACACCTGGTTTTTTTTTTTTTTTTTCATTTCAAAAGCACCAAAAACAGGGGTCACTTTAACTGAGATCAGGACTGCAAATAATGTAAGGAAACATGGAAATAAAGTATGTTTACTTCTCAAGAAAATGTTTACTCATTTTCTGAGTCAGAAAGTTTGCATTTGACTTTGATGATGTTGAAAGAAAAATCAAGCAGTCACATCCCTTATTGGTAACCATTACGACATCCACATCCTCAAATGTGAAAGATGAAAATAGTACATCATACAGTTCTTCACTGCACAGGATGAAGATATTAAAATTTAGGAATAAAAAAGATCCCGGTATTTCATCAATATCTATAAAATAAACATGACTGTGTATTTCTTTAAACACCAAAGGCGAACGGTAACTACATATATGTGCCATAAACGATGTCAAGGATCCTCATGTTTATGCTTGGGCCAAAACTCATGGCATGGAATTCGCGCTCTGCTAATTCTACAAGATACAAAAATTGCCCATTGTTTGAGAACATAACCAAAGCCACACAGTATAATTCTGTGCAAATGAATTAGTGTAACCCTCAGATGTTATGAAACATTTTCAACAAGTTACTGATCTGTGCAAACTGAACATTACAGAAGCAATAACTGTTTAACCATTTTATCCTTTGAACACTCAAATCATTATCATCAACATTATCATCATCATCATCATCATCATCATCATCATCATCATCATCATCAAATTTGTTGTCATTGGATCATCTTTGTCATCATCATCAATTCTACCTCCCAAACTGGAAAATAGGACCCTAAATCAACTGCTACTGGTCAATTTAAGAAGGATTAGCTGGGATGGCCTTAATAAGACTTCTACATGTAGATGAGTTATAATTAATATAGCAGCCACAAAAGCACATAATACCAAATTACCTTCCATGGTGTCATTAAATGCTGGAACCTTCATTTTGGCAGGGACTACTGTCAGGTGAGAATGTTTGCCAACGGTTTTAGTCTTCGTTTTTGAGGGTCTTAGTTTTTGTAACACCCTGGCAAGACTTGTCACGATGACCTCTATAAAATTTATCATTTATTAGGTTTTTTCCACACTACATGACTGATCGAAGCGTTGTGACATCGATCTTTCTCCTTACAGATAGAATTTCGAGGGGGTCTTGGTTTTCTAGGGGTCTTCGTTTCCTAGGGGGTCTTCGTTTCCTAGGGGGTCTTCGTTTTCGAGGTCTTCGTTTTCTAGGGGGTCTTCGTTTTCTAGGGGGTCTCCGTTTTCGAGGGGTCTTCAGTCTTCGGTCTTTGTTTTCTAGACACCCTGTAGCATGGTTTGTTTGTAGTCTTTGTAAGCGCTAGCTTCTTCGTTGTTTCACAAGTCCTGATTTGTATGTATCACTGATGTCAACTCACTGACTTCTTAAAGTTGATGAAGAAATTCGAGATTGAATGACTGCATGATAAATTGTTCGACACTTTTTTGTTCATCACAACTTCTCGCAACACATCTCCGATCTCTTTCAGAACTTTTGATACCAATATGGGCTTACTACAGTTCGCAATAATTAGCCAATGGCGAGGTTTTTTTGCCACCATTTCATACTACCTCTTTTACCACACATTCCTCGATTGGTTTTAATAAATATATACTACAATAAGGACGGATTTAAAAGTCTTAAAAGAATGCAAAATACAGAAAAAAGGTCCCATACCAGACTCGCGGCGGTCCGCCATCTTGAAAATGACTAGTGCCAGCTTTTCTCGGGTCTGTTTTAAAACGCCTGGCGGAAATTGCTATCATGGCTTCGAAGAGTGAAGTTCGGCACAAAGTTACGCGAGAAAACTGGTTCGAAAATCACCCAAAATTCAAGGAAATACAGTCATACGGATACTACAATGGAAAGCCTTCGATGGCAAGAGCAGCTATGACAGTTTACTTGGATTTATGTGAAAGCAAACATTGGTTTAGTGTGTCAATCCATCCCTGCGAGTCTTTGAAGTTGGTTTACATCACAGGAAAGCGAATAAAGAAGTCCCCATTTGATATTGTAGTTCCAGTTACGATAGACACAGCTTTAACAACGGACGAAATTCAGAACATTATCCAGGAAGTTAATCTATGCGAAGAAAAAGAAGTGGAGGAAGACACGGGAGATGATCGTGACCCAAAAGTGACAATGGCTTTTTGTGAAGCAGATTCTACTGTTGTGTATTACGACTTTTTCCAGGGTCTTGTTCCACCGGATCCACCGAATGAGGAGGAAGAAGAAGTGAAAGCCAAACGAAAGAGAACAAGACAGAAAAGGGAAGCAAGTCAAAAATAAAATGTGTTAGAGACAACTCGGAAAAGTGCATCTGTATTCACTGTGTATTTCTACAACTAGGAGTACAACAGCCTCTCATCCTTTTTCCTGGGTTTGTAAAACTCAACCAAGAGCGATAAGAGGTGGCTCTATTTGTACCCGGGCATTTTCTAACTGGATAAGACAACTCCCTCTAATCTACTTCATTTTGCTTTCATTTCTCCTTCGGAGGACAGTTTACACACAATATGTCATTTCATATGCATGCTATTAAAAGTTCCTTTAAACATTGGTTCCTTAGGGCTCCTCCTGTAGAGTAGGTCATGGCAAAGCCACGAGAACACATGAATGAGGAAAGCAATGAGGCAGTGAGCAGGTAAGAGCTTGTAATATTACTGGCTCGTTTCATTGACTGACTTGTGCTCACAACTTCTCTGCTGGCATGTTAGACGCCAATCATGCTCACAAGCTATTGGCTTCTTTATTTCATTCATTCAAAAAAGGAGCTCAGCTTTTTATCTTTTCTTGTATCCACCAACTTTACTTTTAACCTAACTGGGCTCTTCTCAGTAGGCATATTCATGTTTCTCAGTATTGTGCTGGAACTACATGTAGCTTGCAACTGAGTCAGGGAGTCAGGGAGTCTTTTCTTTTTACTGATATTCCCCAACATGAGCCCCCATTGCAAGCTTGTTCCAGTCCAATATTGAGAATATGAATAATTATGGCCTGTTCTAATACCATTTGTACAGCAAAATGTTACACAANAGTTCGGCACAAAGTTACGCGAGAAAACTGGTTCGAAAATCACCCAAAATTCAACGAAATACAGTCATACGGATACTACAATGGAAAGCCTTCGATGGCAAGAGCAGCTATGACAGTTTACTTGGATTTATGTGAAAGCAAACATTGGTTTAGTGTGTCAATCCATCCCTGCGAGTCTTTGAAGTTGGTTTACATCACAGGAAAACGAATAAAGAAGTCCCCATTTGATATTGTAGTTCCAGTTACGATAGACACAGCTTTAACAACGGAAGAAATTCAGAACATTGTCCAGGAAGTTAATCTGTGCGAAGAAAAAGAAGTGGAGGAAGACACGGGAAATGAACGTGTCCCAAAAGTGACAATGGCTTTTTGTGAAGCAGATTCTACTGTTGTGTATTACGACTTTTTCCAGGGTCTTGTTCCACCGGATCCACCGTTTGAGGAGGAAGAAGAAGTGAAATCCAAACGAAAGAGTACAAGACAGAAAAGGGAAGCAAGTCAAAAATAAAATGTGTTAGAGACAACCCGGAAGAGTGCATCTGTATTCACCGTACATGTGTATTTCTACAACCAGGAGTACAACAGCCTCTCATCCATTTCCTGGGTTTGTAAAACTCAACCAAGAGCGATAGGAGGTGGCTTTAGTTGTAGCCGGGCATTTTATAGCTGGATGAGACAACTCCCTCTAATCTGCTTTATTTTTTTTGTTTTCATTCCTCCCTTTGGGCTGTCATGAAAACTGATATTAACTAGCTGGCAGGACAGTTTACTCACAATGCCAGTGTAATTAGTTTGACAAAATACGTCATTTATGCATGCTAATGAAAGTTGCTCTAAAATAAGTTCCTTCGCATTCCTCCGGTAGAATAAGCCATGGAAAAGTTAATGAGCAAAGCAATGAGCTCACTTTGTTGACTGACTCACTCTCACAGCTTGTCTGCTGACATGTTAGGCCCCATACATAACCATGCTCACAAGCTATTGGGCCAGGCTTCTTTATTTCATTCCTTTCAAAAAGAAACTCTGTCAGATTTTTGTCTTCCTTGTATCCACTAACTCAACTTTAAACCTCACTCGACTCCACTCACTGGGCCATATTTGTATTCTCAGTATTGGGCTGAACTGAGGCTAATGCAGGGAGTCTTTCCAGATGCAAAAGACATTAATCTCTTTTTCATGATGTTCCCCCACATGAGCCCCCAGTCCAATACTGAGAGTACCACAATGGCCTGTTCTAATACCATTTGTATAGCAACATTTTCTACAATATGAATAATGATGTCATTAATAATCATTACTAATATTATTTTTCACTCCACATTGCTAAATCCATCAATTTTATTATTTTAATTTCACACTTCTTTGGTTACATGTGTACTACTCTTACAAAAGAAGTACATCAAAAACATAAATAAAGCTACCAGAATTAAGTTTGTAGCAATATTTACAAATTTTAATTCCGTCATAAGAATATTTACAGTATTTCCTTTTCATGTTTTATCTTATTTTGACTGATAATATGTCCCAAGTTAGCAATGCAAATTATTTTGACAAAACCAATCTTGCTACTAATGAAATTAATTTTGTTTAACAATAATGCCAGTAAAACCCGTCAACACCTGTTTCAATTTCTTTTGAAAGACAAGGTTTGTACTCTTTTGGGCTTTTGAAATTCCATGACTTTCCATGACCTTTACCATGATCTTTCCGAGTTTTCTATGACCTACACTGTATGTTAAGCAGTTGTTCTCAACGTATTGTCAAAACAATCTTTTATTTAAGGTATTTTCCCACATTATGACGCATGAGTGCTTGTGTTAATTTTTTTACTGGAATTAACTGGTTTCAAGACTTGTCTGTTGTTTTTTCTGAACTTTTGATTTTTTTTCCTGTTCATTCTCAGAAAGTTTCTTGCTTTTCCATGACTTTCCATGACTTTCCATGACCCACACTTCAATTTCAGGCCTGGAAAATGAAATTATAAAATTCCATGACTTTCCAGGTTTTCCATAACCCGTACGAACCCTGAAAGAGTACTTCATCACTAACTTCTGATTTCTGTTTGTCAGAAAACTACATGTAGCTTATTAATACATCCTTCCAGACTGGTACTGGTAGGCAGATGGAGGTTGTTGCACCGG